GTCTGGCTGTGGGGAGGGCCTGGTGGCCTCTTGTCTGCACAAAGGGAGGAAATCGCAGAAGGAGGGGACTGACTTGTAGTGAGAAGGGGGACTGACTTGCACCTGTGATTTCCATCCCCTGTGACCTGAGTGGCGTGCTGCCAGGAGAGCCGAGACGTGCGTCATGGTTCAGAGGGAATGTCTGTGTCTCGTTCATGGCTCTGAGCAGCCACACTGAGACCCAGATGGTGCCGTGGAAGAGCTGATTGGTTGGGTTGGTTTATGTGTCGAGGAGTGACGGCCAAGTTGTAGGTCTCTTCACACGGTTTCCCCGTGGCCTGAATGTTGGCCCGCCTCCTGCCATCAGGTGCCCACTGTGGGCAAGGTGGGCTGAGGTAGAGGCAGCAGTGAGTGCAGGTAGCAAGGCAAAGCCATGGCAGCTTCTGGAAAAGCACCTGCAGGTCTGGTCAGGAGGCTCGGTGGCTCTGCCATGCTGTGCCCCGTGGTGGCCGTGTCATGGGGGGCAGAGCGAGGGTAAGTGCCGGTTCACAGCCCAGGGCGGACACGCGGTAGCTCTTTGAACTTGGACGAGGCCTTCTCTCTGCCCCTCAGTTGCCTCACCTGTAGACAGAGCAGAATAGCAGTACCTGTGAGATCACTGTGCTCATTATACACGGTCTAGTGCCGCACAGGGAGCCACTGTCCTCATCTTATCAGCGCTGTTTCTAGAAGCCTCCCAGCTGGTTTTCCAGCCTCTTCATTTAGTTCCTTCTCCTCACTGTGTGTTACTTTTTCAAAACAAAGAGATAATATTTTCGCCTAAAGTAGAGATTGGATCAGTGCTCCCCCAAATCCTCCAGCGGCTGCCTGTGCCCACAAAACTCCACTGGGAGCCGTCCGTCCCGCAGTGGGACCCTCCGTCCTTGGGTTCCTCCGGCTCGCTGATGCTGTGGCTGGTGCTGGAGTCCCAGCCACGTGCCCTCTCCTCCAGCACCCCACCCTTGACCTTCTCCTGGTTTACTTGAAGAGCCCGCACCCTCCATGAAACCGGCCGTTCAGCCCAGCTGGAAGCCTTCTCTGGCCTTTGGAATGCGTGGCTTTCTTTCTCGTGGCACTTTCCACGTGGCACTTCGTCCCGAAGCTGCCGCAGTCCTCTCTCTCTCTGGACTCTGTGCTTCGCTGGTGAGAGCCGCCTGCACCATCCCTATTGGCCCATCATACCCACACCCGGGGCCCCTGCTGCTGGCTCTGTCCCTGGTGGACGGGGATTGTAACCGGCCTTTAGTAAGTGGCCTCCATCGTGTGCCCTGGGTGGTCCCTGGGAGCCAGCTTTTTATCTCGTAACCGTCTGAGGCGGGGACATTTTTTATTGACTATTTTTTTCTTTGCCTTATTTAAAAAAAAACAATTCTAACATCGAATTAAGCCAATTTAATTGTTTTGTTTTTTTAAATTTTTTACAGAGAGGAAGGGAGAGGGTTAGAGTTAGAAACATCAATGAGAGAGAAACATCGATCAGCTGCCTCCTGCACACCCCCCACTGGGGATGTGCCCGCAACCCAGGTACATGCCCTTGACCGGAATCGAACCCGGGACCCCCCAGTCCACAAGCCGACACTCCATCCACCGAGCCAAACCGGCTTTGGCAGTTTTTTTTAAATATGTTTTTATTGATTTCAGAGAGGAAGAGAGAGGGAGAAAGAGATAGAAACATCAATGATGAGAGAGAATCATTGATCGGCTGCCTCCTGCACACCCCACACTGGGGACTGAATCCGCAACCTGGGCATGTGCCCTGACTGGGAATCGAACTGTGACCTCCTGGTTCACAGGTCAATGCTCAACCACTGAGCCACACTGGCTGGGCACAAGGACTTATTTTATTCCATGCCTAGGTCATCCCTTCCTTCCAACTTGGAGATCAGACGACTGGAAGATGGAGCCGAAGGCGTGTTTGCTGTAACGCAGCTCGTCAAGCGAACACAGTTCGGTCCCTTTGAGTCGAGGCGAGTCGCCAAGTGGGAGAAGGAATCTGCGTTCCCGCTGAAGGTAAAGGCTGTGCCCGCGGTCCTGGGCAGCCCGTGCTGTGTGACTGTCCTCTGTGCCAGGGGGCAGCATAGCCACCGAGTGCAGTGGCTCACAGATGTCCTAGGAACGTTCTGCATAATTTCCAACAAAAGGCTGCTTCCTGTAATTTTCAGCTCCACAAACACGAGAGAGAGAGAGTGCATTTAAAGTGTCTGCAGGAGGTGCCCCATACGCCACCACTTCGGTTCCGACCCAGGTGGACATTGCAGGCTGCAGGAGGTGACAGTTCTGCCATTGGTTGCAGTGGGGTGTCCGACTAGTTACCGCACACTGTGCAGAGCGCATGTGCTTGCCAAGCTCTTTCTGAAGGAGGTGTCTTGTGGAGGCAGCGAAGAGACACTGGCACTAAGCTTGGCAGCTCTCAAAAGCCCGCCAGACTAGGACAGGACAGCTTTTATGTGAAAGCGAGAAAACAAAATGGAAGGAGCAGGAAGGGCTTAGCCACGGAGAGTAAGACCTGTGGGAGCTCCAGGCGGCCAGGCCCGCGTGCTGTCCATGGCTCTGTCCCTGGGCCCCAATGGCCACAGCCCCCAGCGAGCCTGTGAACGAGACGGGAGGAGCAGGGAGCTGGGGCAGCATTACCCACAGGGGGGACTTTCCTCAGGGACCCTGAGCAGAGATCCACGCTTAGGGCCAGAGATGAATAGATAACCTCGGGTTTGGGGCTTGGAAGATGGAACTTACCAGGCAGATTTCAGCACAACAGGGAAAGGAAAGGAACTTGGTGTTCACAAGGGAAGAGAGAAAGGAGAGAAAGCGAGGCTGTTGGCTGCTATCCTCCAGGGGACCCGGGCCACACGATACACAGCCTCCGCGGGCCATTGGACAAGTCCTTGGTGCCCGTCTTGGTTTCTTTCAGTGACTCACTTCCGAAGGTCTGTGTCTGGCATGAGCTGTTCTCAGTATAGGCTCAGCATTGGCACCTGTGTGCCTGGAGCGCCTTATGCCACCGGAGGGAGGGCGGGGCCCACTGGGAGTGCACTCCACACCAGGCGTGGGTCATTGGGCACCTGGTGGCCCTTCTGCCCTCCCCTCTAGTGTCACAGCCTCCGCGTGTTCCTGAATTGGGCCATTGGACAAGTCCTTGGTGCCCGTCTTGGTTTCTTTCAGTGACTCACTTCCGAAGGTCTGTGCCTGGCATGAGCTGTTCTCAGTATAGGCTCAACATTGGCACCTGTGTGCCTGGAGCACTTTATGCCACTGGAGGGAGGGCAGGGCCCACTGGGAGCGCACTCCACACCAGGCGGGGGTCATTGGGCACCTGGTGGCCCTTCCGCCATCCCATCTAGTGACCGAGGGCTTCATCCTCAGAGGGGCCTCCAGCCCCTACAGGAAGCGCTCAGGAGAGGGGAGAGACCCCTCCTCCAGGGAGGAAGTCACAAGGCATCAGGAAATAGGGGACAAGAACCCTGTACTGTGTGGTTACTTGGAACTTCAGAATATTTAAGTTTCTCCGCCTGCTCCCTGCCTGCCTTTAACCCACAAGGAACAGTGCTGGTTTGCAGCTGAGGGCGCACCCTGTAAAGACCGAGGGACTTGGCTAATGTCACTGAGCACCCTGTGATAGAGCCAGGAGAGCTCACGTGTCCCAATGCCCATCGGACCCAAGTACAACCTAACATCCGATTCCCAACTGGGCCACGTGTGGGACTCAGCTGTCCCAGTGACACCTGCACCAGGTGTAGAATTCAGGCGTCCCAGTTCCCAGCTGAGCCATGCTTAGAACTCAGGTGACTTGACAGCACCTGGACCAGGTGTACAGCTCAGATATCCCAGTGACACCTGGACCATGAGTAGAACCCCAGAATCCCAGTTCCTCACTGGACCGTGGGTAGAACTCAGGTGACCCAGTGACACCTGACCCAGGTGTAGAGCCCAGGTGTGCCAGTTCCCACCTGGGCCAGGAGTAGAGCTCAGGCATTCTAATTCCCAACGAGGTCATATTTAGAACTCAGCTGTCCCGATGATGCCTGGACAAGGGGTTGGGCTCAGACACCTCGATGACATGTGTGCTAGGAGTAGAACCCAGCTGTTCTGATGACACCTGAACAAGGAATAGAACTCAGATGTCCTGATGCCACCGAGACCAAGGGAAGAACTCAGATGTTTTTGCCCACTCCAGGAGTAGGCCTCGAGTAGACCTCAGATGTCCCACTTCCCTGCTCGGTCATGCAGAGACCTCAGGTCTCCTGGGAACTCTTGGCCTAGGAGTACACCTCAGATTTCCCTGTGCCACCTGGGCCATTAACAGGACTACCCAGGAACCCACCTAGACCACAGCTCAAAATCGGGTGTTCCAGTTTCCAGCTGGGCCGTGCATAGAACTCAAGTGTCCCAGTGGCGCCTGGACCAGGTGTGGAGCTCTGGTGTTCCAGTCCCCACCTGGGCCAGGCGTAGAACTTGGTTCTCCCTATGACAACTGGGTCTTTCACTGTGTCTACTGCTGTCTGTTGCCTGTGACCAGCCTGACCTGTATAAGACACTCCTAGCTACTGTAAACCCTAAACAGGACCAGTACAGAGCTTCATGTGTCCTCCACAGTAGAACTGTCGAGACCCGTGGTCGGCAAACTGCGGCTCGCGAGCCACATGCGGCTCTTTGGCCCCTTGAGCGTGGCTCTTCCACAGAATACCGATGCCACAAAGTTTTAATCGCACGGTACGAGTTCCCACCTGGGCCAGGAGTAGAGCTCAGGCATTCTAATTCCCAACGAGGTCATATTTAGAACTCAGCTGTCCCGATGATGCCTGGACAAGGGGTTGGGCTCAGACACCTCGATGACATGTGTGCTAGGAGTAGAACCCAGCTGTTCTGATGACACCTGAACAAGGAATAGAACTCAGATGTCCTGATGCCACCGAGACCAAGGGAAGAACTCAGATGTTTTTGCCCACTCCAGGAGTAGGCCTCGAGTAGACCTCAGATGTCCCACTTCCCTGCTCGGTCATGCAGAGGCCTCAGGTCTCCTGGGAACTCTTGGCCTAGGAGTACACCTCAGGTTTCCTTGTGCCACCTAGGTCACTAATAGGACTACCCAGGAACCCACCTAGACCACAGCTCAAAATCGGGTGTTCCAGTTTCCAGCTGGGCCGTGCATAGAACTCAAGTGTCCCAGTGGCGCCTGGACCAGGTGTGGAGCTCTGGTGTTCCAGTCCCCACCTGGGCCAGGCGTAGAACTTGGCTCTCCGTATGACAACTGGATCTTTCACTATGTCTATACCGGTGCCACGAAGTTTCAATCGCACTGTATTCAAGCGCCCGCACGTGGTATTTTGTGGAAGAGCCACACTCAAGGGGCCAGTTTGCCGACCACTGGGCTAGGGCATGTATTTCTTGTCCCAAACTTAGAGATTCTTCTCAACAAATCAAAAGTCCCATGTTTACCTGGAGCTATTCTCCTTAGGTTGCAGTTTAGCAGCCTTGAATAAACACTCATGCACATCCCAGCCTGACCTGTATAAGACACTCCTAGCTACTGTAAACCCTAAACAGGACCAGTACAGAGCTTCATGTGTCCTCCACAGTAGAACTGTCGAGACCCGTGGTCGGCAAACTGCGGCTCGCGAGCCACATGCGGCTCTTTGGCCCCTTGAGCGTGGCTCTTCCACAGAATACCGATGCCACAAAGTTTTAATCGCACGGTACGTGCGTGCCTGCACGTGGTATTTTGTGGAAGAGCCACGCTCAAGGGGCCAAAGAGCCGCATGTGGCTCGCGAGCCGCAGTTTGCCGACCACGGGTCTAGACTGCTTAGCCCCCTACCCCCCCGCATCCCCCCCACACGCTGACACACAGACTGGTGGGTAACAGGATCCTCCTGGGCCCCTGCGGACGTGCTTCCCGCAGGTGTTCCAGAAGGACGGGCACCCCGTGTGCTTTGACACCTCCAACGAGGACGACTGCAACTGGATGATGCTGGTGCGGCCGGCGGTGGAGCCCGAGCACCAGAACCTGACGGCCTACCAGCACGACAACGACGTGTACTTCACCACCTCGAGGGACATCCCCCCGGGCACCGAGCTGCGCGTGTGGTACGCGGCCTTTTACGCCAAGAAGATGGACAAGCCCATGCTGAAGCAGGCCTGCTCCGGTGTCCACGGTATGTGGGAGCCTCGCCCTGGGGACCGAGGGCCTCTGGGCTGCACACAGGAGCCCGACGTTAGTGAGGAAGTGTGCTGGCGAGCTGCCTGTGCGTGGGGAGAACAAAGCGGGTGGTCTTGACCCCACTTGGCCGGGTCTGTTGTTCTGCTGGTTACATATCCCAGCTGGTAGACAGAGCCCACACCCGAGCCAGACACCTGCTGGTGGGAACTCGTATCTCTTAACTCTGCTGCAGTAAGCCCTTCGCGCTCTCCACTCAGTGTCTCGTCCTCGTCCTCTGAGGTTGCTCATTGTCCCTGGTTTGGGCAGAGGAAACCGACGGGAGGAGGGTGAGGAGCCTGCCCTGTCCTAGCGCAGGAGATGGAGGAATCTGCTCCCGAGTGGGGCTGTCACCTTGCAGCTCCTCCAGAATCGGGGTGTGTGCACACGTGTGTGTGCGCAAAGAAATACCCGTGACAGTCATCCATGTGAGTGGCTCAAACCCAATGTGTCTATTGGAAAAGCAAATCAAAGTGCGTACCTGACAGACCAGGGTCCAGGAAAAATAAATAAATAAAAGTTGAGTGACTAAATAAATAAAATGCTGTCTTCAACTTAAAAAATCTTTCCTGTCTTGGTGGCACGGGTCCTTTCCACAGCCCTGAGAGACCCCGTGACACGGCTGACACTGGGCACTGTTAACCCAAGATCACCGAGCTCTTTCTGCCCTGGTTTCTTGTGCCTGATTCCTTGTGGCTCAGGCCGCTGACGCCGTGTGTGCCTGGGAGCAGCCCGGACGGCACGTCAGCATTTGGGTTGTTAGAGGCTGAGCTTGTCATTTGTGTCCTGGATGATGGCACACCCCTCACGACTTTCAAGGTCAAGCTCAAAGCAGAGCCTGGTGCCACTTATCGGCGTTACAGTTGTCCTGTGTCTTTTTACCTCCTGGAGAGTCTTTCTTTCATCTGGCACTGATTTTGGAGACAATAGATTTTAATGAAATGAAATTAAATTAAAATCTAACCACCCTCAGTCAGGAATACGAGGTGGCTGGTTCCTCCTCGACGCTTCTGAGAATGGGGGGCACTTAATAATTATGTCAGGCCCTGACCAGTTCGTCTCAGTGGATAGAGCATCGGCCTGCAGACTGAAAGGTCCCAGGTTCGATTCCAGTCTAGGGCATGTACCTTAGTTGCAGGCACATCCCCAGTAGGAGGGTGTGCAGGAGGTAACTGATCAATGTTTCCCTCTCATCAATGTTTCTAACTCTCTATCCCTCTTCCTTCCTCTCTGTAAAAAAAAAAAAAATCAATAAAATATATATTTTTAAAAATAATTATGTCAGGACAACCAGCATAAACTGGAAGGCAGGCTCACCCCAAGCAAGGCTTTGAGGTGGGAAAAGAAGTAAGCAACTTAGGTACTCTCAAATTTTAGAAATACTTTTTATGGCTTTCTTTTTTGAGACAAATGGCAAGCAAGTATTTCTGGAAATGCATTGAAAGTTATTGCCTACTCTTACCTATTTGGTTTATTGGATTCTTTATTTCTTTCCCTCCTGAGAGCACTGCCTGTTGAATGTTCATGTAGCCCTGGCAGTGCTGGTGACTCTCCCCTCCTCTGTGTGCCAGGCCGTTGGTAAACTAGTGACCTAGCAGCTGCCCAGGCCCCTGCGCTGCCTCTGCCACCTTTTCCCCGATACCGAATGCACGACACTCTCAACTCTGGGTGATTCAGTTAAGGGCCCAGGAGCTGCTGTGCGAGTGGCCCATGAGTGTCAACACAGGCTGTACAGTGACAGGAGTGGACGTGATGGGGATGGCTCATGGCCCCGGCCCAGCCCTGATGCAGCCAGGCAGGGTTAGAGAAACCAGGCCGGGCCAGACGATCAGGGCCCCAACATTGAGGTCCCACAAGAGCACCCGTAATTTTTTTAAAGGAGCTGCAGTTCCCCTCCTCAGAGCAGGGCCTCCCTCTGTCCTCTGCGAGCCTCGTCATCTTCTCCCTCCTTAGCCCCTGTGCTTCTGCAAGGAAGGACGGAGGCACTGCCTGGACACAGCCGCCTGCCCCGGGGGGCTATTTAAATCCAAATTCAAATGAAATGGATGTAAGACTTCAGTTCCTCTGGGACACTCGCACGCGTGGCCGCTGTCCCGGACAACAGGTCACAGAGTATTTCTATCGCTGCACCCAGTGGTGGACAGCGCTGGGCCGAGGCGGCGGCCACGCCAGGCTCAGGGCACACTGCCTGGCTGTTTTGGGTCCCTTGTTGTGTGAGCCAAGAGAGATTGAGGAATTTGTTTTCTGTAGGATACATTTTTTTTTCTTGAGGTTGTGTGAAGGATGGGCCTGATCCCACTAGGCTGGCTTCTTGGAGGAAGACACGTTTCTGTGACTGGAGACAGACCCTGCACCAGGCGGCTGTGGCTCTCAGAGCGCCGTGTCCTCATGTGTGAAACGAGGACATTCTGAGAACAGAATGGAGCCTGGACCGTTGAAAGTGGTCCGTGAGCGATCGCTGTTGTCAGTGTCACCTGCAGGACAGGTGCATTCTCGGCTGGGCTGGGCCTTCGTGGACAGATGAACTGCCGTGGGTCACCTTGTCTCTCTTTTGAAGCTGCAGGCACCCCGGAAAACAGCACCCCGGTGGAGTCAGAGTCGAGCCAGTGGGTGTGTAAAGTGTGTTCCGCCGCCTTCCTGGAGCTGCAGCTCCTGAATGGTAAGGCGGGGCAAGCGGGGGCAGGCTGTTGAGTCAGAGTTGGAAGCCCTCTGTTGAGGTCACTGTGATTTGGGTTCTCCTGCATACCATCCCTTTTGGACAGCAAAACGCATGGCCATCGGAGGCTCCCTGGCTTCAGTGAGCTGCTCGGCTCTGAAGCCTGTCTCCCAGACCTGCGTGCCTGCGGAACAAGCCCCCTTTTCAGGTGCAGGCACACTCTTGGGCATTAACCCCAGAGAAACAAAACCTTATGGTCCCACAAAAATTCTGTGAGTGTTTATAGCAGTTTTCTTTGTAAAAGCCCCAAACTGGAAACAACCCTAATGTCCATCAACAGGTGAATTGATAGACGGGTTGTAGAAATATCCTTAAAATGGACACTACTGAGCAATATAAGCAAGGAACTATTGCTACACCCAACAAGTTAGACAGATCACAAAGCCATTATGCTGGAAAGAAGCCAGTCTCAGAGATTACAGACAGAGTAATAAAGAGAGAGA